GGCTGGATATTGTAACAATAAAAATTATTTCATAGACACCAACATTCGTGTCGGCTTTCATTAGCACTTCGTATATCTGATACATTTTTATATTAACTCGTAAAGGACACCTTTCTTTTGAATGGTTTTGTTTAACACAAAATTTAAAAACAATTACGTTCTTTTTTCGAAAATTTAATATTATAATACCAATCAATTGGTCAGACAATTTTACATTGGGAAACACATTTTGCTTTAATTTTGCTTTTTATTTTCAGAAGATATAAAACTTTAAGAAAATTCGCTTGGTGCGAATTTGCACCCATGTGTTCTTTACGGGTTAACATTAAGATTAAAAAATCAATTTAAATGCACAAATAAAATTCTGTATTATAAAATGACGTAATTAATTTAAATTTCGTCTTATTATCAATGATCTTAATAATCTTATTCTCTCATAATAAAAAATTAACACAAGAATCAACATAAAAAATTAACATAATGTTCTTACCTGTATGACAAATCCTAGAAGATAAACGACTAGAATTCCGATGGTAAGAGCTACATTCGGAGTAACCGTAATGACTTCCCTCCATAAGGGTATAGAGATTTCTGCTAAATAAATTCCAATGGAAGTTGCGCATAAACCAAAGCCAAGTCCTACAAATTTCCGAAGCAATCCTTATAAATGAATGTTTGCGTTTGTCTTGTCATTAAATAAATAAACAGTTTTAAGAAGATTTTGTTTCTCATCAATAAATAAGGCGTTTAGTATATAAAATACACGCTTGTACTTCGTAGTCATGTTTATAAATTAATTAACAAATATCTTTCAAAGCACAACAATTGTATGCGGAAAATGTACCGTTATTGCATAAGTAATTATTTCACAGTTAAAAATAATAATTTGAAAAATAATTTCCAGACAGGCATAATTTTCCAGAACGTAATTTTGCACGACTTACATTGATTTTTACTTATAATAATTATTATAATATTATAATTTATGATAATAATTATTTATTTAGTGATTTAATAAACCATTTGATGTTGCACTTCAATTCTTATACTTACTTTTTCAGTACAAGAGTATTCAGTAAAAAATAATTTTTTTATACGCATCGCGATTAGTAAGAAAAATATAAATTTGTATCATAAATGACATAGATTAAGAAAAATCTGATCATGATTCAACAAATTATTTACCTGTTAATAACCTACCGACGAAGAGTTGTATCACATTATAACTACTTGCCATCAAAATCCATCCCAAAAAAAAGATAACACCACACACTATCATAGTATGTCGTCTTCCATAGTTCATCATAATAATGCTTAGGAAGCAACCGATCATTATGGTGATAACTAATATAGAAACTAGATACAAAAATTTTCCAACATTATGTGGAAATCGATTTTGCTAGTAATACTTTTCGATACTTTATAAAAAAAGAGCAGAAAGTAGCATTTTATTCCAATTTATATTTTCACAATTACTTTAATAATCAATATTCAAATTGGAAACGATTACATTCGTCAAATTATTGTTCAATCGATTCAAAGTTATGAAATGTTTTCTAACTGGAACGTTATTTATAAAAATATAGTAACAATGAGTAATATAGGCAAATAATATTTAAATTTTTTTAAATAGATACCGAATAAAGATGATTCCGTTGCGTTTAAAGTTATGGAGGATGTGTTATCCGTTAGTACAGGAAGCACTACGGAGGAATATCCCGCAGTAGCTCCTGCACTAATTAAAGCCAAATTGCAAACAATAGTGTAAAGAAACTGCGACAGATTAAATACACAGAAATTAAATATTATATTATTAAACTTTTTAGTTTTATTTTATTACAACCAACGATAGTACACTTTGTCTTGTTTGAATTTTTAGAAATCTAAACACTCAAAACATTTT